TTGGTAGCTTCCACTGGACTCTCTCCAGTAGCTCCTTGTCTCTCTCTCAGAACCAGACCCAGTACTCCAGAGGTGGCCTCACCAGGGCAGAGAAGAGGGGGAGGAGAACCTCCCTCGACCTGCTGGCCATGCTCCAAGATATCATTGCCCTTCCTGGCCCCAAGGGCACACTGCTGGCTCATGGTGGACTTCTCCATGGAAGGGACCCCAGGAGCACTCTGTTATCAGACCAGTCAGGAAAGCAGCCTCTTTGTTTTGTGCTCTGTCAGGTGAAGACCTAAACCAGAGGGAAACCTCCTGGCCAAATAACTAGTGTGCACCAGGCAGCAAGTGCCCAGCAGATGTTTTCAAAATTAACCTTTGAGTGAGGGAGGCAGACAAATGTAATCCTTCATAATAATATATTATAAAGAGAGACAAATCTACTCCCCTTGGAATCACGGAACCATTTAGCTTGGAAAAGACCTTTAAAAAGAGTAAGACCTTCTGTAAACACAAAGACCTTTACAAAGAGCATTAAAAGACCTTCATAAAGAACATTAAAAGACCTTCATAAAGAGCCTTAAAAGACCTTCATAAAGAGCCTTAAAAGACCTTCCTAAAGACCATTAAAAGACCTTCCTAAAGACCATTAAAAGACCTTCCTAAAGACCATTAAAAGACCTTCATAAAGACCCTTAAAAGACCTTCCATAAACACAAAGACCTTCATAAAGACCTTCAAAAGACCTTCCACAGATACATCCCTCAAGCAGGAGTTCAGGGCTGCTGCGCGGGCAGTCGGAGCACCCGCTCCCCTCCCAAATTCTCACTTGGGATGAGGTTTTTCTACCTCCCACCTCCACACTGCTCAAGCACAGAGAGCCTGGACTCACCTCTGGAGCCCGATCAGCTTCCACCTCTGGAAGTCGACGACGTGCAGGGGGGAGGTGACCCAGTGCTTCACGGGCTTGGCGGAGGGGCCGCAGTTGGGCACGAAGATGGAAAGCGCCGTCACCAGCTTCTTGACCACGGCTTCCTCCTCACCCAGCACCACCAGGGTCCTGCCGCTGAGCAGGGAGTAGATGGCAGGGTGGGCAAAGGGGTACTGCCGGATGAACCTCAGGGCGTTCTGCCCAGCCCTCTTCCTCTGCCTGTCACCCCCCTGGCAGCGCCGAGCCGGGGACGGCGTCCGCTCCGAGCAGGTGGAGGCGGCGCTGCTGATGT